GCTCCTCCCTCTCACTCACCCTCCCCCCACAGCCACTCCTGCTCTCTCAAGCACTCTCTCCAATGAGGAAACAATCATCAGAAGTTATTATCAGCAGTTTTATGCCAGTAAGCTAAGCAACCTAGATGAAATGGATGCATTCCTCGAAAACTAAAAACTCCCAAGATTGAACCGGGAAGAAATTGACAACCTGAATAGACCATTATCTAGTAACAAGATTGAAGCAGTGATCAAAAACTTCCCAAAAAACAAGAGCCCAAGACCTGATGGATTCCCTGGGGAATTCTACCAGACTTTCAAAGAAGAAATAACACCTATTATCCTGAAGCTGGTTCAAAAAATTGAAGCAGAAGGAAAACTTCCAAACTCTTTTTATGAAACCAGCATTACCCTGATCCCCAAACCAGGCAAAGACCCCACCAGAAAGGAGAATTTCAGACAAATATCACTGATGAATATGAATGCTAAGATTCTCAACAAGATCCTAGCGAACAGGATCCAACAGCACCTTAAAAAGATTATCCACCATTACCAGGTGGGATTCATACCTGGGTTACAAGGATGGTTCAACATTCACAAATCAACGTGATAGAACAAATCAATAAGAGAAGAGAGAAGAACCACATGGTCCTCTCAATTGATGCAGAAAAAGTATTTTGACAAAATCCAGCAACCATTCCTGATTAAAACGCTTCAAAGTATAGGGATAGAGGGAACATTCCTCAACTTCATAAAATCTATTTATGAAAAACCCACAGCATGGGGCACCTGGGTGGCTCAGTGGGTTAAAGCCTCTGCCTTCGGCTCAGGTCATGATCTCAGGGTCCTGGGATCCAGCCCCACATCGGGCTCTCTGCTCCGTGGGGAGCCTGCTTCCTCCTCTCTCTCTCTGCCTGCCTCTCTGCCTACTTCTGATCTCTGTCTGTCAAATAAATAAAATAAAAAATCTTTAAAAAAAAAAAAAAGAAAAAGAAAAACCCACAGCAAATATCATCCTCAATGGGAAAAAGCTCACAGCCTTCCCGTTGAGGTCAGGAACACGACAAGGATGCCCACTCTCACCACTCTTGTTCCACATAATATTAGAAGTCCTAGCAACAGCAATCAGACAACAAAGAGAAATAAAATGTATCCAAATTGGCAAGGAAGAAGTCAAACTCTCTCGCTTCGCAGATGACATGATGCTTTATATGGAAAACCCAAAAGACTCCATCCCCAAACTACTAGAACTCATACAGCAATTCAGTAATGTGGCAGGATACAAAGTCAATGTACAGAAATAAGTTGCTTTCTTATATGCTAACAATGAAAATACAAAAAGGGAAATTAGAGAATCGATTCCATCTACTATAGCACCAAGAACCATGAGACACCTGGGAATAAACCTAACGAAAGGGGTAAAGGATTGGTACTTGAGGAACTACAGAACACTCAAGAAAGGAATTGAAGAAGACACAAAAAGATGGAAGACCATTCCATGCTCATGGATCAGAAAAATAAACATTGTAAAAATGTCTATACTGCCTAGAGCAATCTATACTTTCAGTGCCATTCCGATCAAAATTCCACTGGCATTTTTCAAAGAGCTGGAGCAAATAATCCTAAAATTTGTATGGAATCAGAAGAGACCCCGAATTGCTAAGGAAATGTTGAAAAAGAAAAACAAAACTGGGGGCATCACGTTACCTGATTTCAAGCTTTACTACAAAGCTGTGATCACCAAGACAGCATGGTACTGACATAAAAACAGACACATAGACCAGTGGACAGAGTAGAGAGCCCAGATATGGGCCCTCAACTCTATGGTCAAATAATCTTCAACAAAGCAGGAAAAAATATACAGTGGAAAAAAGACATTCTCTTCAATAAATGGTGGTGGGAAAATTGGAAAGCTACATGTAGAAGAATGAAATTCGACCATTCTCTTACACCATACACAAAGATAAACTCGAAATGGATAAAAGACCTCAATGTGAGACAGGTATCCATCAGAATCCTAGAGGAGAACATAGGCAGTAACCTCTTTGATATTAGCCACAGCATCTTCTTTCAAGATATGTCTCCAAAGGCAAAGGAAACCAAAGCGAAAATGAATTTTGGGGACTTCATCAAGATCAAAAGCTTCTGCACAGCAAAGGAAACAGTCAACAAAACAAAGAGGCAACCCACGGAATGGGAGAAGATATTCCGCAAATCACAGTATGGACAAAAGGTTGATATCCAGGATCTATACAGAACTTCTCAAACTCAACACACACAAAATAGATAATCATGTCAATAAATGGGCAGAAGTCATAAACAGACACTTCTCCAATGAAGACATACAAATAGCTATCAGACACATGAAAAAATGTTCATCATCACTAGCCATCAGGGAGATTCAAATTAAAACCACATTGAGATACCACCTTACACCAGTTAGAATGGCCAAAATTAGCAAGACAGGAAACAACGTGTGTTGGAGAGGATGTGGAGAAAGGGGAACCCTCTTACACTATTGGTGGGAATGCAAGTTGGTACAGCCACTTTGGAGAATAGTGTGGAGATTCCTTAAGAAATTAAAAATAGAGCTTCCCTATGACCGTGCAATTGCACTACTGTGTATTTACCCCAAAGATACAGATGTAGCGAAAAGAAGGGCCATCTGTACCCCAATGTTCATAGCAGCAATGGCCACGGTCGCCAAACTGTGGAAAGAACCAAGATGCCCCCTTCAATGGACGAATGGATAAGGAAGATGTGGTCCATATACACTATGGAGTATTATGCCTCCATCAGAAAGGATGAATACCCAACTTTTGTAGCAACATGGACGGGACTGGAAGAGATTATGCTGAGTGAAATAAGTCAAGCAGAGAGAGTCAATTATCGTATGGTTTCACTTATTTGTGGAGCATAACAAATAACATGAAGGACATAGGGAGATGGAGAGGAGAAGGGAGTTGAAGGAAATTGCAAGGGGAGATGAACCATGAGAGACTATGGACTCTGAAAAACAATCTGAGGGTTTTGAAGGGGCGGGAGGTTGGAGGTTGGGGGAGCCAGGTGGTGGGTATTATGGAAGGCATGTATTGCATGGAGCACTGGGTGTGGTGCATAAACAATGAATTCTGTTATGCTGAAATGAAATTAAAAAAAAAAAGTATAAATGACCTCGTATGGCCAAACACTTGGGAAACAAACAAGTTTGGCGATTAGCTGCACCTGATCTGAAGAACTATTTTGAAGTTATCATAATCAACACAGATTGGTATTGTTTCACACATTAGAGTCACTTGATATTTATTTAAACACTGCATGGAAATTTGGAAACATTTTTCATGTTTCAGAGTAGAATGTGTAATGAACTCCTATATAGCCATCACCCAGTTTAAACAATAATCAAATTGTGAACAAATTTATATCCTCTATAACCCAAGCCACTCTCGCCCCAATTATTTTGAAACAAATTCCAGACACCCTATCAAACATTATTTTATCTGTAAATATTTTAGGATGTATCTGTAAAGGTTTTTTTGTTTAACAATCAGTATTATTATTCTCCATGAATCTTTTGAAAAAGAGATTCCTGGGCCCTATATCTAAATCAGAATCTGAGAGTTATTCTTAGGCATATGGAATAATTTCTGTAATTCTAATGCATCCAGTCAGGCAACAGTGCATTGCCTTAAGAATATGGAGATAAAGGTTTTCACTTATGACTCTTCCTTATGTAATGTGAAAGTCCCTTCAATTGTTTCTATGTTTACCTGAGTTTATGCTGCTCCTTATGTCTCACAGTACAGTTTCGAGGTCTATTGAGAGACTGTACGGAAGGTAGACTACCCTAGCCATTTTCAAAGTAAAGCCCAAATGAGTAAGTTAATCTTTTTTTTAAACCCACATTATTTTATTTGGGGATGTTTTTACTTGATACAGTACAGTTCTATTTGCCAAAGTCATTTAAGCCAATCTTAAGTGGAGATCAGCAAACTTTTTCTGTAAGGGACCAGACAGTAAATACTTTAGACCTTGTGGACCATACAGTCTCTGTCACAACTATTCGGTTTTGCTTAGCATGAAAGCAGCTATAGATAATATGTAAATGAAAGAGCATGGCTGTTTTCCAAAAAGTTTATTTATAAAAGCATCTGTCTCCTGGCCATAGTATGCCAACTCTTTTTTTTTTTTTTTAAAGATTTTATTTATTTATTTGACAGAGAGAGAGAGAGAGATCACAAGCAGGCAGAGAGGCAAGCAGAGAGAGAGGGGGACACAGTCTCCCCGCTGGACAGAGAGCGCGACGTGGGGCTCGATCCCAGGACCCTGAGATCACGACCTGAGTGGAAGGCAGTGGCTTAACCCACTGAGCCACCCAGGCGCCCCAGTATGCCAACTCTTATTCTAAAAGTTGGTAATGAAAAGAAACTAAGTTAGAAGTCCATTTTTTGGGAGGGTGGGGGGATCCTATAGACCTTATTTGATATTAGAACCACTTTTGTAAGAGGAAGATTTTTGATCTGATGCTCCTTGAGCCTCCAGAATTTTCATCTCCACTCCTGAAACAATTAGCATATGCCTGGCAGAAGTGAGCAAGTAAGATTTCATAACCACTTCTCAAAAATTAAGAAACCAGGGGCACCTGGGTGACTCAGTAGGGTTAAGCCTCTGCCTTCAGCTCAGGTTCTGATCTCAGGTCATGAGCCTGCTTCCTCCTCTCTGCCTCTCTCTCTGCCTACTTGCGATCTCTGTCAAATACATAATTAAAATCTTTAAAAAAGTTTTAAGAAACCAATGATATGATTTTTCTATACTTTCAATGTCCTTTTTGTAACTGATTAGCCAAAATGAGGTTTATGAAATCTATATAGGAAAAGAAAATGGTCACTATTTGCAGATGACATGATACTATATGTAGAAATCCCTAAGGAGTCCACAAAAAATAGTTTTATTAACAAATAAATTTGAGTAAATTAGAGTAAATAAATTCAGTAACGCTGAATTTTTTTTCATTTCAACTTTATTGAGAACATTTTGCAAATTAGATTTTACAATTAGCACTTTACAATTAAGAAATTTTATCTGCTACTACGTAAGTTGCAAACTTTTCAAAACACTACAGAAAATCCTTTATTTCTTTGGATTTTTCTGTTCCATGCTGAGCTCCTGAGATATATTTTTTCTTTCAGCTTCATTTTCATCTTCCTTAGAAGATGAAGAATCACACTCCTGACATATCCATCCATAGCCTGTTTGTTTAGGAGACTTTTTCAAAGGGGGATCCAAACAGCCAAAATGGTAGCACAGTCTGCATTCATCACACCTATTCTTCGTTTCAGACAATCTCATCCTGCTGACAATGAAGAAAGATCTGACAAGATTTTCATTGTCTCCAGTTCCCTTGCAAGTTGCACATTCAGTTCGTAAATCTTCAGCCTTAGGCTTCTTTTGTAATACAGACGGCCTCTGCCTTCTCTCTCTAGAATTCTTTCCTCATGTTTTTCTTCCTCAGGAATGAAGCTTCGCTTTCGTCTTCTGGTTCTTGTGTTTCTTACTGGAATCTTCTTGGGTTCTGGAGGCATATACTGTGGAACAAATTTCATCGATTCCTTAATCTGCCTCCTTGATCGTTTGGTCCCATCTGGTAAGGTTTCCATGGCCATGTGTGCTTTCATGTCGCTGCTCCCTGCCTGGTCACATTCTGAACACTGCCAGTAACTGTTCTTGGTCTTTCTTGGCATCCTTGTAAGAGGAGGGTCCAGACATCCAAGGTGGTAATGGAGTTTACAGGTATCGCACAATAAAAGAAAATGCTGATCATGGTTCTTCTTACAAATTCCACAACTATAAAGTACTGCAGGAAGGACAGATGTCTTTTGTGCGCCTCCTTCTTTTTTACTTGGTTTTCTCTCCTTGGGTGCTCGCAAAATTGCCGGTATGTTCAACTTCTGCCCTGTGATTCTGCCTAGTAAGGCCCATATTCCTTGCCCTTCGCTTCGAAGTTTTTCATTCAGATTCTGCAGTTCTTCTAAAGATTCACATAGCTTATTATATTCCACATGGAGATTTTCCTGTTCATTCTCTAATTTATCCTTTATATTCTTTTGTTCAGCCATATTTTCCTGAATTTGAATCATGTGCATATTTCTCTCAAAGTAATAATTCACAAAATCAGCAGTGAGAGCAGGTTGCTTATGCTTTCTCCTTCCATCCACACTAGAACTAGTATCTGAATTGTCCACTGGAAAGATATCTGTACTGATCCCCATTAGCTCTGCTTTCTGCATCAGCTTATGAATGGCTGAAGCACTGCTAGTGAGTGGTCTGGGCAATTTTTCCCTTGGAACCCAGGCCTGAGGTCTGGTAGATCGAGCTAGTTCTGCTTTGGCACGATACTGCTGAAGCCGGCATTGATCCTTGCCTGTGCTTCTGGTGACAGTTGCTTTTCCCTCTCTTGCAAAGACATTTTACAATAGGATTGTAGAGCCAAATAGATTTTTCTCTTCCATTTTCTATCTAACCTATCTGCATGCTGCTTATAATAAGCAAAAAATGGATCTGCTATATCCTCTTCTGCTGCTGCCTCTGAAAGCAGACCTTCCTTCTGGGCACAGGTCACATGGAAATAAGCTCTGCACATCCCTGCATCACAGCTAATACAAACTCCAGTTCTAGCAAAACGAGGGTCTTCACAGAAGCTACACTCCTTGGCACCATATGTGGAATAGTTCATTTCTGTTAGTGTTACTGGTCGTAATTTGTCAATATCTCCAAAGGCTACTCCGGGAACATATAGGGCACATACAATGTGAACCCATCTTCCAGCATCTGTCTCCTTGAAAATTCCATCCTGATTAGGACACAGTTCACAGCTAGGGGAAACACCACATTTACAGGCATCACAAAACAAAGGTTCCGTGGAGTTTTCAGAAGCTGAACTCATAATAGAGTCACTCTCTCCATCAACTCCATAGCAACCTTCATGGACTGTAATGCCACAATTGTCACACTGAATTATTTCATCAGCATCCTCGCTATTATCTCCAAGACAAACACAGCAAATCAGAATGTGGTCCATTTTTTGAGAACTCCAGTTTTGACTCTTCTCAAGAATCAGCGAGTCCTCATTACTCTTGCTTTGAGATAGTGTCAGGCTATCATTGGTCAGTTCCTCATCATCAGCACTGTTTCTGCTAAGAACTTTACTCTTCTTCTTGCAACCCCCTTCACTGGCAGGGCTGCTATGATCTTCATCATTGCCTTCATCATTCTCATCCTCATCACCCCCACTTCCCTCATCTTCATCATCTTCATTGTCTCCATCACTTCCTTCTTTCTGAGATGCAGATCTCTCCTTTCTCTTTACTACAGTAGGTCGCCAATCATTGTCATCTTCGCTGTCATAGTCATCCATATCAGTCAGCTCTTCCATGGAAACAAAATCCAAAAGTGGTCGATTTCGATGAAGATTCCACTTTTTTGGCTCACTGACTTGTTCCTCTGTAGTGGTTGCTGCAGTGGGGACTGAAGGAGATGTGTTAACAGCAGGACTTGTGGCTGGTGTGGTGGCAGCAGCAGAAGTAGCCACATTATCAGATACTGTTGCTTTTTCTTTATCCTCTCTCTCCTTCTCTTTCTCCTTTTCTTTCTCCTTCTCAATATACAGAGACTTGTTGCATTGTTTTTAAAGATTGTATGTATGTGACACAGAGAGAGACACAGAGAGGAAGCATAAGCAGGGGGAGCAGCAGAGAATCAGGGAAAAGCAGACTCCCTATTGAGCTGGGAGTGCAATGCCAGACTCATTCCCAGAACCCCAGGATCATGTCCTGACCTGAAGGCAGACATTTATCCAGCTAAGCAACCCAAGTGCCCCAACTTGTGTTTCTATATACTGATGACGAACTTTCACAAAGAGATTAAGAAAGTAATGCCATTGACAATTGCAGCAAGCAAAAAATAAATAAATAAATAAATAAATAAAATCTAGGAATAAAAGTAACCAAGAAGAAGGAAGACCTGGTATGCTCATTAACTAGAAGAGTTAATCATCTTAACATGTCCACTATACCCAAAGCAATCTGGAGAAAGAAGAAGACAGAAAGAGTCCAAGATGGCAGAGGAGTAGGACACTTTCATTTCATCTGGCACAAGGAATTTAGCTAGATAGCTATCAAACCATTCTGAACACCTGCAAATTCAAGCACAGATTGAAGAAAAGAATAGCAGCAACTGTACAAACAGAAAAATAACCACTTTCTGCAAGGTAGGAAGTAGAGAAAAGTGAGTCTAAGCTGATAGGCAGGAAGATAAACCCTGGGGGAGGAAGCCTCTGTCAGCTGGCTATTGCCAAGTGCTAGGGGCAGCAGAGCACAAAATCAGAACCTTTGGAAGTCTGCCCTGGTGAAGGATGTAGCTCTGGCAGGGGTGGAACCCTCGATGGGACAGTGTGGTTTCAGGATCCTCGGGGTCCCAGGAAGACCAGGAGTGCTTGAGGGCTGCAGAGCTCCCAGGTATCAGAGCAGGGAAGCCAGCTACAAAGAGTGAACCCAGGAGTGGGCTCTAAGCTGGACATTGCCATAAACTATGATCCACAGCACAGTCTGGCCACTACTTTTGAGAAGGGGCCCAAGAGGAGGCACAACTGGGGAGAGTACCCTTCCTCCCCCAGGAGGAGTGGTGCCTGATCATGCTGCAGGAGTCTGCTGGGTTTGGAGACTCCAAACTGGGTCATATACAGAGACAGAAATGCTTGGTCACAGGAATGAAGAGCACAAGAGTGCAGACAGAGACCAGGGAGACACGAAGGATGAACCGCTTTCCTGAAAGAACACACTTAGGAGTTGGGCCCTGATCATTTCTCAAGAATCAAGAAAGGTCTCAAATATACAACCTAACCCTACAGCAAAAGGAGCTGGAGAAATAGGAGCATAGAAAGCCTAAACCCAGAAGGAGAAGAGAAATAATAAAGATTAGAGCAAAATCAAGGGTGCCTGGGTGGCTCAGTGGGTTAAAGACTCTGCCTTTGGCTCAGGTCATGATCTCGGGGTCTTGGGATCAAGTCCCGCATCAGGCTCTCTGCTCAGCAGGGAGCCTGCGTATCTCCCTCCCCTCTCTCTCTGCCTGCCTCTCTGCCTACTTGTAATCTGTATGTCGAATAGATAAATAAAATCTTTTTAAAAAAAGATTAGAGCAGAAATCAATGAAATAGAAACCAAAAGAATAGTAGAAGAAATCAACAAATCTAGGAGCTGCTTCTTTGAAAGAATTAGTAAGATTGATACTCCCCTGGTCAGATTTCTAAAAAGAACACAGAAAGGATCCAAATAAATAAAATCATGAATCAAGCAGGAGAGATCATACCCAACACCAAGGAAATACAAGCAAGTATAAGAACACTGGATGCCAACTCTATGTGAACCAAACAGGCAGTCTTGAAAAAATGAATGCATTCCTAGAAACATAGAAACAATCGAAACTGAACCAGGAAAGAAAATGAAACCTGAAGAGACTCATAGTCAGCAACAAAATCGAAGCAGTCATCAAAACTTCTCCAGGAAACAAGAGCCCAGTGTGAAATGGCTTCCCAGGGGAATTCTACCAAACATTTAAAGAAGATTTAGTACCTCTTCTTCTGAAACTTTCCCAAAGAGTAGAACTGGAAGGAAAACTTCCAAACCCTTTTGATAAGGCCAGCATTACCTGATTCCAAAACCAGACAAAGGAGAATTATGGAGCACTATCCCAGATGAATATGGATGCAAATATTCTCACCAACATATTAGCCAATAGGATCCAACAGCCCATTGAAAGGATGATTCACCACGACCAAATCACACTTATTCCTGGGCTGCAAGGGTGGTTTGACAACCACAAATCAATCAATAGAATCCATGACCTTAATAGAAGAAAGAACAAGAACCATAGGATCCTCTCAAAAGATAAGTAAAAGCATTCGACAAATTAATGCATCCCTTCTTGATCAAAATTCTTCACCATGGAGGAATACAGGGTACACATCTCCAAACCATAAAGGCCATCTATGGGAAACCCACAGAGAATATCATTCCCAATGGGGAAAAATAATGAGAGGTTTTCCCTTCAGGTCAGGAACACGACAGGGATGCCCATTCTCATCACTATTGTTCAACATAGTACTAGAATTCTTAGCCTCAGCCATCAGACAACAAACAAATAAAAGGTGTCTGAATCAGCAAAGAAGTAGTCAAACTCTCACCCTTTGCAGACAATAGGATACTTTCTGTGGAAAACCCAAAAGACTCCACCCCAAAATTGCTAGAACTCATCCAGGAATTCCGTAAAGTGGCAGGATACAAAACCAATACACAGAAATCACTTGCATTTGCCTGCAGCAACAATGCAACAGAAGAAAGAGAAATTAAGGAATCCACCCCATGTATAACTGCACCACAAACCATAAGATACTTAGGACTCCATCTAACCAAAAAAGCAAAGGATTTGTACTCAGAAAACCATACCATATTCATGAATGAAATGGAGGAAGACACAAAGAATTGGAAAAACTTTCCATGGCCTTGGATTGGAAGAACAAATATTGTGAAAATGCCTATGCTACCCAGAACAATCCAAAGATTCAATGCAATCCCTATCGAAATACCATCCGCATTTTTCACAGAACTGGAATGAATCATCCCCAAATTGGTATGGAAGCAGAAAAGAGCCCAAATAGCCAATGGGATGTTGAAAAAGAAAACCAATGCTGATGGCAACACAATTTCAGACTTCAAGCTCTATTACAAAGCTGTAACATCAAGATCGTATGGTCCTGGCACAAAAACAGACACACAGATCAATGGAACAGAATACAGAAACCAGATATGGACCCTCAACTCTAGAGTCAACTAATCTTTCTCAAAGCAGGAAATAATATACAACGGGGAGGAAAAAAAAGTGTCTTCAATAAATGGTGCTGGGAACACAGGACAACCATATGCAGAATAATGAAACTGGACCATTTCCTTATGCCATACACAAAAAAATAAACTCCAAGTGGATGAAAGACCTCTTTGTGAAACAGGAATTCATCCAGATCCTTTAGGAGAACAGAGACAGTAACCTCTTTGACCTCAGCCACAGCAACTTCTTACTAGCCACATCTCCAAAGCTGAGGGAAACAAAAGCAAAAATGAACTGTTGGGATTTCGTTAAGATAACAAGCTTTTACACAGCAAAGGAAACAGTCAACAAAACCAAAAAACAACAAAAAGGAATGAGAGAAGATATTTTCAAATGACATATCAGATAAAGGGCTCGAATCCAACATCCAGAAAGAACTTACCAAACTCAACACCCACAGAACAAATAATGTAATCAAGAGATAGCTCAAAGACATGAGCAGATATTTCTCCAAAGAAAACATCCAAATGGCCAACAGACAATTTTAAAAGTGCTCAACATCCCTCGCTATTAGGAAAATGCAAACCAAATCCATAATGAGATACCACCTTACACCAGTCAGAATGGCTAAAATGTACAAGTCAGGAAGAGAAAGGTGTTGGTGAGGATGTGGAGAAAGGGGAACCCTTTTATACCGTTGGTGGGAATGCAAGCTGGTGAAGCCACCCTGGAAAACAGAGTGGAGGTTCCTCAAGAAGTTGAAAATAAAACTACCCTACAATCCTGTGATTGCACTGCTGGGTATTTACCCCAAAGATACAAATGTAGTGATCTGAAGGGTCACCTGCACTCCAATGTCTATAGCAGCAATGCCCACAAGAGCCAAAGTATGCAAAGAACCCAGACATCCATCCACAGATGAGTGGATCTATATGGATACGTATATCATTGAGTATTATGCAGCCATCAAAAAATGAAATCTTGCCATTTGCAAGGACATGGATGGAATTAGACGGTATTATGCTAAGTGAAATAAGTCGATCAGAGAAGGACAATGAACATATGATCTCGCTGATATGTGGAATTTAAGAAACAAGACAGAGGATCACAGGGGAAGAGAAAAAAGAAAGAAAGAAAGAAAGAAACCAACCAACCAGTGAGGGAGTCAAAGCAAAGAGACATTTAATCTCAGGAAACAAACTGAGGATTCCTGAAGGAGAGGAGGGTGAGGGAACGGAGTGGCTGGGTGATGGGCATGAGGAGGGTATGTGCTGTGGTGAGCACTGTGTGGAGTGTAAAACAGAAGGATCTCACCTGTATGCCTGAAACAAATAACACATTATACGATCATAGTAAAAAAGAAGTGAAAGAAAAACATTTAGAATACAAATGTATACTACGTAAAAATAAATCAATTAATCTTCTTGATATGAAAGAAAGAAAACAAAAGCAAGCAAGCAAGCAAGCGACTAAGCCAACTTGACTCACCACACCAATTTCAAGCTAGATTATAAAGCTGTTGTCATCAAAACAATACGGTCTTGGCATAAAAACAGACAAACAGGACAATGGAACACAACAGAAAGCATGGAAACTGATAATCATAGTACTTTTGGCAATGTTTATTCATTCATATACTAAAGGTATATTTAAACCAAGCTCTGATAGAATCATTAACTCTGAATGGGAATTTATAATATTGATGTCCTGTTCCAACCTTTGCTACCAATAAATGCATTTTTTAAACATGCTGTTTTATATACATATATATTATAAAATAAGGATAATTTAGAATCCACACTTTTAGGAAAAGTTAAATTCACTTTAATAAACCTACCACAGAAAGAAAATATAAACTGTGAAATTTAAAAAATTAAAAAAAAAACAGAAGTAAGGAAGGAAGGAAAGAAGAGAAAGTAAGAGAGAAAGAAAGATGATGAAAGAAAGAAAGAAAGAAAGAAAGAAAGAAAGAAAGAAAGAAAGAAAGGTGATAGATAAGTTAGATAGAACCCTCAGAAAGTAACCCACACATGTATGGTCTTAACTTATGACACAGCAGAAAATATACAATGGGGAAAGGACTGTCTCTTCAGTGACCAGTACTGGGAAATCTGGACACTAAATGCAGAAGAATATGACTGCGTCACTTTCTTTCACCGCACACACAAATTATGAATGGATGAATGACTTGAACATAAGAACTGAATCCATAAACTTCCAAAAGGAAAACACGGGTAGTAAGTTTCTCAGTACTGGTTTCGGGGAAGAGACTTCTACATCAGACACCCAAAGCAAAGGCAACAAAAGCAAAAATAAACAAGTGGAGGGACATCAAACTTAAATATCTGCATGATAAAAGAAACCATTAAACCCTTAAAAGGCAACCTCCCTCAGGAAAAAAATATCTGCACATCCTATGTGTGAGAAGAGGCTAATATCCAAAATACACAAAACACTCCATCAAAACCAAACAAAAACTGAATAAAATCTGGGTATCAGACACACGTTCATCATTAGCTCTGGAATTCCATGAATTTGTCTACACTGGCCCACCCAGGTGTCCCTTCCAGATCATTCCTCAAGTGCCCTCGGGTTTTGAGCCACCTTCAAACTGACCTTCAAAAGGCAGGAACGGGTCCATTTAGGTAGACAAGCTGAGCGACTGTGTGTATGGGAAACATGGACCACACCCTCTCTGAACACCAGTGCTTTCAAGTCCAAGCTTCAAACCCTCACTCACTGGGCACGGAACACCACATCAGCATGGACACTGCTCTTTCAAACCTCTTGTCTCCCATTCCTTCAAATCAGAAAGACTAAGCTCCAATCACCAGTCTATTTTCCCTTTAGAGACTGAAGCTAATGATACATTATATGTAAAAAAAAAAAAAAAATCTACTTATTCTATCCATTATGGGAGATGTGTCAAAAATCTTTTTCTGTAACGGTGAATTTGCCCATTTTATTTTTTCTCCTAGTTTGTCTTATTCTTTGGAGTCTATTTCCTCCAGAATCCTGACCTTAAGTCAATGACCTTTGATCTAGGTCCCTCCTCTACAAAGGCCCAAGACATTGTCTCCAGCCGCACTTGTGCCCTGAAGCACCAGGCTTCAAGGTGGAGGTTGCTCCTAAGCATCTCACAGAGTTGGTGCTCATTCTCTTCCCTCATCTCATGCTCCCTTGTCTATATGTTGTTTTTTTTTCCCCCACATTTCCTCACAGGCTTATTTAATATTCCAAAAAAATTTTTTTTAATTTTTTAGATTTTATTTATTTTTTTTAAAGGTTTTATTTATTTGACAGAGAGATCACAAGTAGGCAGAGAGGCAGGCAGAGAGAGAGGAGGGAGCAGGTTCCCTGCCAAGCAGAGAGCCCGATGTGGGGCTCGATCCCAGGACCCTGAGATCATGACCTGAGCTGAAGGCAGACGCTTAACCCACTGTGCCACCCAGGTGCCCCTTTATAGAGTGTCAGAATAGATTTTTAAAAATATTTTATTTATTTATTTATTTGACAGACAGAGATCACAAGTAGGCAGAGAGGCAGGCAGAGAGAGAGGAAGGGAAGCAGACTCCCTGCTGAACAGAGAGCCTGATGTGGGGCTTGATCCCAGGACCCTGGGACCATGACCAGAGCCAAAGACAGAGGCTTTAACCCACTAAGCCACCAAAGACTTTGAAAAATATATTTTATTACGTATTTTTAGAAGTTATATCTAAAAGGTAAAAATTCCAGTTATAAAATATATTGGAATAACAAATAAGGGAAGCAATTTCACAAACTTTTAAAAAATAGTATAGAAATACTATTCAAAAGCTATTTCTTTGTATTTATTAACATTTTACTGCACTTACTATGCATCACACTCTACTTAGCACTTTGCATACATTATCTAATTCAATCCTTGTAACGACTCCATGAAATAGGTATTATTATTACCACTATTATCACCCCATTTTACACCTTAGAAAAATGAAGTTCATAAATATGAAGTAACATACTACAAATCATAACATATAAATGTTAGAGATGCAGTTGAACCCTGGACTTTGACTATAAAATCCATGTTTTTAGCCATATTTCTGTAAAATTTCATACATAAGAGAATGAGTGGGCTGTGCTACATCCAAGTAGTCATCATAAAACATGACAGAAGGTTATTTGAGTCAGAAGGTTATTTATTACATTTTTAAATTTCAAAATTCTAAATTCCACTTTTCTCTGAACTCTATTCATATCGAAGACTTCACTGGAGTCTGGCAAGCTCCCATCAACTTCATATCTGCCTTATCTGTTCTTTTGGTCTTTTTGAAACTCTTACCCTTAAAGCATGCTAAGTATCAGGTAAATAGGTAAGAAAAAGAAAAAGAAAGAGATGACAAATCAAACAGAATTTTTTTTTAATTTTATTTATTTATTTGACAGACAGAGATCACATGTAGGCAGAGAGGCAGACAGAGAGAGAGGAGGAAGGAGGCTCCCCGCTGAGCAGAGAGCCTGATGCGGGGCTCGATCCCAGGAACCTGGGATCATGACCTGAGCTGAAGGCAGAGGCTTTAACCCACTGAGCCACCCAGGTGCCCCTCAAACAAAATTTTAGATAACAATTAGCAACTCATGCTTCAGATCCTTTCCTTAGCATACTTTATGGAAAGCATGATTATGATTGTGAAAAATCTTTTTTCTATGAATGTGAATCTAAGTTAATAACAAAAGGAGTCTCAAAACAATAAGCTCTCAGCTTCAGAACCTAGAAAATGAAGAGAAAGTTAAACTAAGGAATAAAACCAAAAGAATCCTTCTACCCAATTTCAAGATCTATAGCTACAGTAATCAACAGGCTGTGGTGTTGGTGAAGGGATAGACAAATGGAACAGAATAAAGAGAGATAAGTGGAACTGGATCAAGGACCCAGAAAGAGACCTACTACCAATATGTCCAATGGGGTTTTGACAAAGGTAAAAAGCTGTTCAACGGAGGAGTGACAGCATTTGGAATCAATGGTGCTAGAGCAAGTGGACTTCCATAAGCAAAGAAGAAGGAGGAGAAGAAGAGGGAGAGGGAGAGGGGAGGAGGAGGTGGAGGACGAGGAGGATGAGGATCACAATGTAAGTCTCACACCCTATACAAAACTTAACTCAGGGCGCCTGGGTGACTCTGCCGGTGAGGCAGCCAGCTTTTCATTGCCGCTCTAGTCATGTTCTCAGCTTTCCGGGACAAAGTCAGGCTCCAAGCTCCCTGGGCAGTCTGCTTAAGGATGCTCTTTTCCCTTCTCCCTTCACCCCACCCCCCGCTCTTGCACATGCTCACTCTCTCAAAAATAAAACATTTTTAAAAATTAACTCAAAATTAATCACTGCCTTAGATGTAAAATGAGAAGTCTTATAGGGAAAAAATGGGAAAAAATTTCCAGAATGGAAAGCTAGGTAAAGAATTCTCCGATTGGACATCATATCATTGTCCTTAACAGAAAAGTTGATTTATTGGACATGATCCAACAATCAGAATTCTAAGTTTCTACTGTGTGAAAGACCTTGTTAAGAAGACCCAAAAGACAAGCTACAAACTGGGAGAAAATATGTGCAAACCACATACCTGATAAAGGATTCCTGTCTGAAGTATAGAAACGCAAAATTTGACGCCCAAAATAAGCAGGAAGCCCAGTCAGCAAAAGAAAAAAAAAGGGGGGGCAAAAGACCTAAACACTTTACCAAAGAGTATAAAGATGGAAATCACATAAAAAGGTGCCATTGGGGCAATTCAAATGAAAACTCCAATGAGCTCTCACCGCACACCTATCACAATGATTCAACCCAAACGCACCGGAGAGGGGGAGAGAGACCCCACTACCAAATGCAAGGCAGGATGTGGAATGACTGGATCACTCCTGCATCGCTGTTGGGAATGGGAGATGGTAGAGCTAACTCTTGAAAACAGTTAACGGTGTCTTTTCTTTTTCAAAGCCTTGATTGAAATTCCAGTTAGCATGCAGTGTAATATCAGTTTTGGGTTTCCAATAGAGTGACTCAACCCTTCCTTCCCCACAGTTTCTTTGAAAACGAGACTTGCAACCACCATAAGACCCAGTCATTGCACTCTTGGCATTGATCTGAGAGAAATCAAAACTCACGTTTGCTCAAAAACCTGTCCATGAATGCATCTGTGTCCTTATGGAAGCCGTGGGGCTGCCAAAAAGGTAGAAGTGACTGGAGTGGTTGGATATTGACACTTGCCAGGCTTGTAAGAGATGTTCTCATTTTGCTTCTTTGAGGGCCCCTTCCCACTAATGGTGGTCCTGGGGACAAGGAGAAAAGGCATGTCAATGATGTCAAGAAGTTTAAACCTGCCAAGCATTAGAATGCCATCTCTTCTACGCTAATTCATTCTCTTATTAATCCTCAGTCTCCCAAAGCAGACAGGAGGCGTCTGGTCCAAGAGGGGTTCCAGGCAGTGTCCCTTCCACAGGCCATCTCCCCTCTAGCCCAGAAGTCCAATGGCCAGGTCCCAGGCTTTCAACTCCTCTAATTGCTGTGCCTTCTCTAGGGCCACCAGGGAACTTCTGGGCTCTTTCTCTGCCTTCTAGGAGGCTCTCCGGGGATGGGTCTAGTGCTCTCAGTCGACTTGTACCACACTGCCAGTTGTCTTCTCCTGCATTTGCCACATATTGGCATGGGAGGATCAAGTGAGGGGATGTCCTCTCGGAGAGATACATGGCGAACAGAATCGACGTCCTCTGTCTTACATTGCTCACCCGAATCTCTCAGTAGTTTCTACCATGTCTTGATTTCCCACCCCAGGAAAGGGGGTGGGTCAGAAGCCAAACATTTGGCTTCACATTTCTGTCTTTCTTGAATGTTTTCCCCAAACCAAAGGGCTTAAAACAACATTGATAACCTGATATGGTGTCTGTGGGCCAGCCGTCCATGCGCAACTAGCCAGGTACCTGTGGCTCAGGAGCTCTCACAAGGCTGCAGTCAAGATGTCATCTGGATCTTCGGTCATCTCCAGGCTTGTTGGGGGGTAAATCTGCTTTTGAGCTCGCTCAGGTGGCTGTTCGCAGCCAGGGTCCTCCATTACTGGAAGCAAGAAACATTCATTCCTTGCCACATGGGCCTCTCCGTAATACAGCCCACAAGGAGCAGCCAGCTTCCCTGGGAACAGATGAGGAATGGAGGGCGGGAGGGTGGAAGGGATGGAGGGAGGGAGGGAGAGCAAGCCCAAGAGACCAGTCTCTTTGTAAACCCCAGAAATGACATCCTATCACTTTTGCCATATTCTGTCCTTTAGAAGTGAGTCAGTAGTTCCTGACTCTAATCAAGAGGGAGAAGATGTTACACAAAACGATGTGTACCAAATGGGAATCGTTGGAGACCCTTCAACACTGCCCTCCATACTTCGGTGGGACTTGACCTCAGCTAGCCACCACTCGAATCTTTGCATCCTTACTAGGATGGGAACTAGGAGAACATTTTATCAAGCCCTTCTGGGATCCTTACAGCAGCTTGCCTAGGAGTTCCTCACACAAGGGTGCCCGTGTGGCTCCGCCAGTTCAGCGTCTGACTCTTGATTTCGGTTCAGGTCGTGATCCCGTGATCTGTGAAATCCTGCCCAACGTCCCGTTCTGCGCTTGAGTGGGAAGCTTGTCTAGAAATCTCTCTCTGCCCCTCCCCTGCTTGCATGTGTGTGTGCCTTCTCCCTTTCTCTCTCTCAAAAAAAAAGAAGAATTACTAGTAGTAGTAGTAGTTATTTGTACAGCAGTTGATAATTAGACAACCCTGGTGTGGAATGGGAGCTCTGAAATTCACTAGCTGTGTGATTTGGGGCAAGTAGTTTCCCTTCTCTGAACCTCAGTCATATAGGACACACTGGGTTCTCGGGACAATTAAGTGATCAATAAAATACTCTTAAAACCCTTTATTGCTTGGCATATAATCCCTTAATAAAATCAATTCTTAGTAGCAGGAGTATCAGCACTTTGATATTCTTATTTATTTTTTTATTTTATGCTTAACATTGAAAAATATTCTCTCTCACTCCTACGGCTATAGGGAATCTGAAGCATCCGTTAAATAATGGGTGGATCTCAAGTACAAGGAGCAATGGGTATGGCTTCACGGGTAAGCACAGGAGCTTTAGTGCTCTGGTTGTGAGTGTTGGTGGCTGCTGGGAAAGGGAATCAGACCCACAGTGGACCCGAGAACTTGGGAGTCTGGCCAGTGCACCCTTGCTCCCTTCTTGGGCTTCTGGGGTTTCAGGGGAGCCTTGGGCCCTTGAGGGTATTTGGAGGCTGTGCCCAGAACGGCAGGAGCAGGAGGCGCCCCGGAGACAGGCTGGACCTTGGGCCCAGAGTTAGCCAGCTTCTGCCTGAGGCAATGGCTTTTTGCCTGGAGCCTTCGGAACTCCCTCTCTGCCCACAGGACAGCCTTCTGGCTCTCCTCCCATCTGTTCTCCACCAGGAGGCGCTCCCGGGCATGCAAGGAGGAGATCTTCTGCCATTCTCCACGCAGGTCCTGGGCCATGTTCCTGTAGAGGCCTAAGTTCCAGTGGGCAGCATCCGCCTTCCTGCACACCTTGGCCACTTTGTTCTTCACTTGCAGGCAGCATGCCTTCTCCTCCATCATCTTCCTCTCCACGTGTTTGATGTGCTCTTCACACAGCTTCGGCTCTGCCTCGAGCTTCAGGCGCAACTTCTGAATCTCCCTTTCCAGGAGGGTGTTTCGAAGGTGAAAAGATACTTGCTCAGCTTGTGGATTGTTTTATTTCTTGGGAGCTCTTCATTCCTCGGACGTGCCTTCTTCAGTGCCCTGGATGGCTTTCCTTTGTTCCCGGGGCTCCCGCCTGAGGGCACATGGTCAGTGGAGGAGGACCCAGTCTCCACCTCCCTCCTTGAGCCCCCACCTTCCAGATGATCTCTAAGCAGCTCTAGCAGATGCATCACCTTCAGTAGGATCTGGCTGAGGGGGTGGTGTTGGCTCTATTTCCCTGGAACCTGATGGAGGTAGTGTGTCTGCTGGGTTACCAGGCAGCATTGCTCATGGCCAAAATGACTCCTGATGGCTAAATGGAATATGAATACATTCTTGGTGAGAAGCTATAGCTTGAAGTGACTCCTATAAACAGGTATGTCCCTCTGAGAACCCCGGAAGTTATGCCCCAGAGGTGGTTCTAAGAAATTGGGTCTTCTTTGCAACATGGGGTTTCTAAGCCAAGGTGGGCTCCCCTCCACTCTTTTTCTCCCACAAGAGCCGTAGGTTGGGGGCCTACCAAGGACAGCAACAGCAGCTTGCTGGCAGCTGAATGCTCTGCTGTGAGGACCCCAGCCCCTGAATGAGGGACCCCACGCTGCCCTGCAGCCCAGGGTTTCCTGGCTTATATTCTACTAACTGGGTTGGGAGCTGGTATGGCCTACGGTTATTTTATGGTATCTGCATAACTTATCGAGAAGACATTCTGGTAGGCATTACAGGTAAGCACTAAAATCATCTTCATGTTTAGAGAGGAAAAAGACATTTAAACTTCCCACATCACTCAACTAGCTAAGATAGGACCAGATTTGCATGGAGACAGTCTGACTGCGAAGTGTGGGCTTTGAACTACCACTCCAGTCTCCTTCTACAGAGTTGACATTGGCATTCACTGGTCGTATGAAGGTGAGCATAGTAAACTCCCTGACTGCTGGTTTCTGAATCTTTAAAAAATATAAAGATTATAAATACAAAGTATGCATCTGAGGATTAAAAATACATGGAAACAGCCAGCACGGGGCATGGCTTAAGGCGGCCGCCCTTCCCGTTGGTCCTGCACGCTTCACCCGGCAGGGACTTCCACGTGCAGCTGCCCACAGACCCAGAGGACTGACAGTGGGTCTGTGCTCCAAACCCAGGCAACCTCTCGGCCTGTTGCTCTGCGCCAGGCTCCTTGAAGGACCCTCTTTTTCAGATTCCTCATTGAAGGTCCTTCAACCTGAGCCCAGGTGTCAAAGTGCTGATTAATCTCGGGTTTAGACTCTGTGTCTTACATTCTTTGGTTCTCTGACTTGTAGGCCCTGTACACACATCCTTGCTAGACTTCGTCCCCCTTCAGTGAACCTGCTGCCTGCCAGCCCCGCCTGACCCCAGTGTCTGCTTCGCCCTCAGAACGCCATACATCTGAAATTGTTGACGTCAGGGATGGACGGACAGATGTCTAAAATTTTATATGATTTCGGGCTCTACGTCCATTCCTTCACCTCACTATCATCCAGGAAATGTTGACAGTAAAAAGATATTCAAAAATGCACAGAGGAATAATTTTTAAAGAAAAATAAATCACTGAAGGAAGGGTAGTTGATACATGACATAGTGAAAATATGAAAGAAATCCACGCACCCAGACTATGGACCTTACCTTCCGAGGAAGCACTTAGGGAATGTGGTTAGTTTTCTTTTTCTGTCTTTGGTCAGATTCCCTTGTTTGCACATCACCTTGTAGAGTTTCTCGCCCTGTTCAGAGATCATTACCCAGGTGTCTTGCTGCATTCGTAATTTTAAGCCTATCAAAAAGGAAACCAAGGACGGGTAACTGAAAAAGTCTCCTCACTCACTCTTGCCTGCATGAAACCAAAATTTATTGCAAATCAAGCATGGGCAAGGGGTTGCAGATACAGAGTTCTCTACCACAGGGCACCTGGGTAGCTCAGTAGGTTAAGTGCCTGCCTTCGGCTCAGGTCATGGTCTCAGGGTCCTGGAATGGAGTCCTGAATCGAGCTCCCTGCTTAGCAGGGAGTCTGCTTCTCTCTCTCCCTCTGCCCCTCCCCATGTGCATTAGTTCTCTGTCTCTCGCTCACATAAATAAATAAATAAATAAAACCTTAAAAAAAAAAAAACCCTGAATTTGGAGCATAGAGGAAGGAAAGAGAAGGGGTCAAAAGGAAGTTAATGGGTGGCTTTATCATGGGACCTACATAAATCACAAGATTTCTGTGATTTTTATTTTCAGTCTTCTAACTACAAAATTTTTTACTAGAATTTTTATTTTTTACCATGGCGGAGGAATTACCATTTTTCAGTAACAGAATAATTTTTATTTAGAGCCTGTTAACATAAACAAATAGAACATGCTTGTTTGCTTGCTCTGCTTTCTTCCTTTTTCCCTTCCTTCTTTTCCTCCTTCCTTTTTCACTTCAGATTTATCTATATACATAGCTATTCTGAAAAAATAAAGGTTCAACTTGATGAAACATTTATTTTACCTTTGAAATGACTTGCTATGCTATTTGAATTGATTGCTAGATTCAACAAAACTTAAAGAATCAGCTATGTATTCATAATCTTTGTTTAAAATTTTTCTAACAGGCTCTCCATCCCAGATCAATCAAAGGAGTTAAGTATTTGAAATGCTTTGGAAATTCTCAAACAAATGTGTACTATGAATATTTTAATAGAAGTAGAAGCTTTGCATGTTCTTCAAGGGAAAATTTCTGAAGATGGAAGAAAGGGTTCTTGTGTCCTGAAATTTCATCAGCAATGAGATATTTTGCTCCTAAATCTTGGGGAAAAAGGAATAAACACTGCTTTTTGTCTTATCAGTTATTTGGTAAAGAAATTAGTAGTAACACAAGCATTTCTATTTCCTAGCTGAATTGCAGAAATGTGCTTAATTGCAGATAAACTTCACATAACTGAATATTGCCAGATCAAATACCTTTTGCAAATCTTGCTAAAAACGTGAATCAGTTTTGAGCCAGTCCTCCTCATATGAACACACTCCTTATTCGGCTGCATTATATTCAATGGCATTATAACAATTTTAAAATGTATATCCAGAGTGCTTTATTCTACAATTAGGATACTAACATATTTGGTCTAGAAATTTTCAATGTACTGTTAAAGATATAACTGTTGAAGGCCCTACAGCAATGCATTGTACTACTGAAGTCTGTCTCACAGGAAAACTCCATAATGATGTTTTCGAAATAGGAAGAATAAGGTGCAAAGAAAACTGAACAAATTTTAAAGCAAATGAAATTATTTGTGTAGACTGAACATTTGCATGCCTCCCAGATTCGTATGTTGAAACCTAACACTCAACGTGATGGTATTAGGACATAAGGCATGTGGGAGGTGATTAGGTCCTGAGGCTAGGGTCCTTATGAATGGGATTGGGATTAATGGCTTTATAAATAAGACACAGAGAGATCTCTTGCCCCTCTACCATATGAGGACACAGTGAGAAAATGGCCATCTATGAACCGGGAAACTGCTGTCACCCGACACTGAATCTGGGACTCCTGGCCTCCAGAAGAGTGAGCTATGAATTTCTGTCATTTATAAGCCACCCAGTCTGTGGTATTTTGTTATAGTGGCCTCGACAGACTAAGATACTATTTAAAAGACACTGCTGGCCACAATACATTATTTTACTAACTATTCAATGTTTTTCTTTTCTTTTAATAATAATATTAATATTAATAATATTAGAAGTATTCAAAATGTATTTTAGGGTTGCTTGGGTGGCTCAGTCAGTTAAGCATCTGCCTTTGGCTCAGGTCATGATCCTAGGGTCCTGGGATCGAGTCCCGCATCGGGCTCCCTTCTCAGTGGGAAGCCTGCTTCTCCCTCTCCCTCTGCCTGCTGTTCCTGCTGCTTGTGCTCTCTCTCGCTTTTGCTGTGTTAAATAAATAAAATCTTTTAAAAAAAGTATTTTATCATGAGTCTTAAATCACATGGGAAATCTAAGTGAACATCATATGCCTTTTTCCTTTCTCGTAACTTCTGCCCATTATCTGCTTTCTTGCTAAGTTAGAATCTTCATAAAGTATAATAGTGCCCAATTCATACACCCACCTTTTCGCTGTTCTCTTTCTTTCAAAATAGCTTCAAACCATTCATGTTTCTCCTTGGATGTTTTTGCCATGCACACAAACCATTTATTTTTTGCTGTGTTATGGATCTTCCATCCATTGACAACAATGTGTCCACTGCTATGGAAGATAGCTGGAAATTAATGGGTAAAGTTGAACAATAAATATAATATTACATCAATATAACCATTCAATTCATAACAGTTCCAGGATCACTGAATTCTTAAAAGTATCTTTGCTTTATATGTGTAAATGAAGAACATAAAAACCAAAAAATTATGTGTTTATATATTAAATGCAGTCAGTACTCAGGAATGGAACATTTTAACTCATAGCATTATTATATTACATGAAATCGAACATCTGAACTACTTAACATTCCTTTCCTCTATGTCCAAAAATGTTAAAGTCCCTAGAGTAATAAAAGAAGAACTTTTAAAAGAATTTTCATCTCAATAATGAAATATCCAAAGTGTCACATTCATTTTGTCTTTTTAATATTCCTTTGAAATATTATTCTAGGTTTCAAAAGCAAACAATACCACCACAGGATAATTCTCAGCTGTTTAATGAACCCTACAATAAGAATCAGAACAAATGAAGGGAACATACCAAGAGTACATTTACCTAATCTTCAATAAATGGAAAGATACAAATGCCAATCCATTATCATTGCTCACGGTTGAAAAATACACACTCTGTAAAACCACATCATTCCATATAACTGGCATGAATAGAAACAAAAAAAAATTCTGAGTATGAATTCACTTTGTCTTTTAGTGGGTCTCACCATAATTTTGGCTACACTGTCATGCTGGATTTGAAAATGTCAACAGGAAACCCTCTATGGCAGTTTTCTGCCTAATAGCAACAACAGGGAGAGAAGAGTGATGTTACTTGTATCCAGCCTTTACTGGCATGACAGCCCGCAAACAAAGATCCAGAATGAAAAAACATATGACAATGACCCCAGTCAGCACCTGCACCAATTTAAAGTGACAATTTTCATTCATCTCCTGGAGAGCCACTAAACAGTAACGGTGGGTAAACAGGAGGTGAGCCACAAAATGTTAAGGGTGGTTTAGAGAAATGATTTTGTCGCACTGAGCTATTTTTTGTTTCTTTAGGTTTTCTCAAATGGCCTATTTTAGTTGGTGAGTTCTAAGTAGAAGCAGGCATGGTTGGCACTCATTCTCCCAAAATCTTGTCCCCATTATCTTTTTAGCTCCCAAATCACCATACAGTATCTTTGATCAGATTAACTATTCCAAAAACACATTTTCAAATGATTCTGTGTAGTTCAGGGTCTTTAAAAATTCCAAATTATCTTAAGAGTCAGAATATTAGATGTTAGTCTATTATACACACACACACACACGTATACACATATGCCATAATCCCATTAATAATAACAATTTCTGATAAAATAGGCAATCAAACTATGTGAAGATTTCCCCCATCAGGAAATACAGTCTGTTTTTAAAAGGAATTTTTACCTTTTCCTTCTTACCCTTACATATTTAATTCATATTCGTATCTTACACAAAGTAGCAGCACCTAGTAATAACATGTCACATAGGTATCAATGGCTTTAATGCCTTATTACCTCCTACAAAAAGTCACTAAGTGAGAAATCATGATAAATTGATGGGGAAAAAAAATCAAATTGTACATGTCTACACACCCTCCTCCACAAATGTGTCACCTTACAGGGCCAGTATCACAAACAAGCATCAGTTTTTCAGACTCAGGATCTCTCCTTCCACAATCAGAACAAGATTAGCTGAGTGAAGCCAGCACTGCCGCTTAAAAGATCCCACAGTCCCACTAGTGCTACTCCCCTTTTAATCATACTCCAGGTAAAGAAAATCACAAGAACCACACACAACCTGCAGCGATAAAACACTGGACTTACTTTAAAATGAATGCAATGTATTCTTCCCATAGAATAACCAAGGAACACAAGTTCATGCATCAGGCTGATGCTCTTGACCCTGCATACCAAATGTCCTGGGCCAGTCACCCCTGTAAGCTGGGTCTTCCTTCCTTCTCTTCCTCCCTGGATTATTTGATCCTGGCCTTGCTCTCTCCACACTCTGCTGACTCTTCCTTCAATATTTCATCAGGCCATTCCTTACTTCAAAAGCCTTTGTTAGCTCACCACTGAACCAAGTGAAAACATGGAAGCTTGCTTTTGCGCTTTTCCTTAAACTGACCTCACCCTATCGAACAATGCCATTTTCCACTGTGTTCTGTGGCCCTGCCACCCTTTGTGGCTTTCCTCCTTGTCCTGTGAATACTTACCTGTTCTGAAGGCTGACACTCCCATCAAGCTACCCAGCTGTGCTCTCTGCCTCAAGCAACTCTTTCTTCCCTTTACAGTGTACCCAAATCCTTCATGAAGCCTTGCCTAACCATTACAATCCATGCATTCAGACTTCCCTTGGAAAATAAATGATTAAACTCAGAACTAGACAAGTCAGGGCGCCTGGGTGGCAGTGGGTTTAGCCACTGCCTTCAGTTCAGGTCATGATCTCAGGGTCCTGGGATTGAGCCCCACATCGGGCTCTCTGCTCTGCAGGGAGCCTGCTTCCCTCTCTCTCTCTTTGCCTGCCTCTCTGCCTACTTGTGATCTCTGTCTGTCAAATAAATAAATAACAGCTTAAAAAAAAAAAGGAACTAGACAATTCAGCATGAGATTGCATGTGGCCATTGCTTCATGAACAGAAAGCAAGACTGTTAACTGACTGTTAACAATCTGCCAAGTCAAGTAATAGGTTAATTGCTGCACCAATATAATATTTTGAAAGAATAGGTTATATCACCTAATAATTTAAATTGGAAAGACAGGGGATGCCTGGGGAGCTCAGTTGGTTTGGTGTCTGCCTTCGGCTCAGGTCATGATCCCGGGTTTCTGGGATCCAGCCCCACATCAGGCTCCCTGCCCAGCGGGGAGTCTGTTTCTCCTTCTGCCACTCACCCTGCTCATTTTCCCTCCCTTCGCTCCTACCCCCATGCGTGCGCTTGCTCTCTCAAATAAACAGATAAAAGCTTTATAAACAAATAAATAACTAGAAAGGATAATGTTCCTTTTTAAAGTTTATGTGCTAGCCACTTTCTATCACTGATTTTAAAAATCATAAATAATTTTAAAATTATGTGTAAACATGAATGGTTATATACATACAACAGGCCTCAAAATGTATAAATATCACAATATCAGTTACCAAATTACCACTTATTTCAAAATAAGAATTAGTGATATAAAATGGCTTCATAATTTCAATCACAGCACATTTTTTAATAACTTCATTCTAAAAAATAAATTTGAATTCAACTTATTTATTAAGAACAGTAACATACAGAGCATGGAAGGGGTGTGTGGGTGGCTCAATTGGTTAAGCATCTGCCTTCAGCTCAGGTCATGATCCGAGTCCTGAGATCCAGCCCCATTAGCCCAAGTCAGGCTCCCTGCTCAGTAGGGAGTCTGTGTCTCCCTCTGCCCCTCTCCTCCATGCTCTCTCTCTCCCTCTCTCTTTCTCTAATAAATGAAATCCTAAAACAAACAAAACATGGAAAAGCCCAAAAGTGCCTTTCCTTAGTAGAAATTTAAGAATATTTTTAAATGAAAGAATAATTTATTAATGCCATATGCAGGAATTTGCAAACTTCAATGATCTAAAATATAATTCTACAGGAAGTGTTAAAGAGGAATGGAATTAAAATTGTCACTCATTAAGTGTAGAATATCCAAACTGAACAGTCTCTAGGCACTGATGTTTTTTCCAAAAAGAGAAAAATCCAAGGGGCAGCCCAGAACAACTCACTAATTACTTTGAAGCTATACAGTTTGCAAATTCCTCACTCTTAATTCAGCATAGTTTTACATAATGAGATGAGGTTTTTCTAAAACTGAGACTACTATAACTTTCAGTGGAAATACTGGTATCTTTTCAATAGTGTGAGTTTTAATGAGCTGGAAGCTAGCTAGCCAAGTACTGTATACTCAAGCTAGGAAACAAGGAACTGCCAAAAAATATTATTCAAAACATCAAGAAACTGATATCTAAACAATGTATTTAACCCTTATCCTGATGATCAATGGTGTGAATGCATAAATTTCTAAGAGAAATTTTAAAAATCACAATTTACTCACATTATGAAAAATCAATGCTGAAAAAAATTACTTTTTGGAATAAATCTTTGATTCTATCAAATAACATAAAAAGATTTTCTGGCATCCAAAATCATTTGACATTATTTATGGCAAAAAAAATTTTTCTAAAGTTTATTAACAGATTTTTCCTTTTAAAACTAGAAGTAACTCCACTGACCTTTTTTCAATTCCCAAGAACACTCCTTTAAATTAATAACATTGAAAATTTAAGTGTATCAGGAAGGAACTAATATATCTTGGTAGTCTTTTCAACATTGTAAAGTTATGCTACTTTTTTATTAAGAAAGTGTTCAATAGCGCTTATACTACAGTAGTATGGTTGTTAAGGTAATTATGGTTTGTCTATTTTGTTGATGATTAAGTAACAATAAATATATGTTATGTGGATGATAAGACATGAAGATAAAGATGACTACAATTCAAAAATTGATTCTACTTAATTGAAAAGAGGATACACAACTATAGAGTTCATGTTTTTAAGCATTTTAAAAATCTATGCATAAAAAGAAAATGGAAATATTTTAAAATTCTCATTTACTTCTTTTTAGGTGATGAAATTATCTAGTATTTTCAATTTATTTCTCTGTTATTTCCAAATTTTCTCTAATAAGGAAAATTTAATTTAAAAAACTCAATGTGTTCAATATCTTTAAATGGTCTAAAATATTTATATTGAAAATGACAGCTGAAATATTTCCTTAAAAAAATCAATTCACACTAAAGAACACCATAAAGAATAAAAAATTTCCATCTTATTCAATTCAAATTTGACTGTTGTATTGAAATTTGTGGTTTGCCTAACACTGCACTACAGATCACATTTTCGAAAGGTCACCATTTTGTCCTCTCTCCAACTACACAAATAGACTAGTTTTT